CAAATCCCTATCCAGCCATGAATTTCTGGCTAGTCTTGGCAAATTTTCTATATCTTAAATGTAATCTACCTTATCAGCGTGTTGTGGAGAGAAAATGAAGATGTGGCAAACCATAAATGCTTTCTTTAGTTCCTCTGAAAAATGGTAGAATAGAAAAGTAATATTAACAACTAATTGCAGTGATGGCATGTAAGGCAGCATACAAACTAGAAAGAAAAACAAATCTAAATAGAATCATAGAGTGCTAATCCCATCTGCCTCAGTCAAAGCTTGTTCATTCGTACAGTCGCTTCTGACTCTTCATGACCTCATGAACCAGCCCACGCCAGAGCTCCCTGTCGGCCGTCACCACCCCCAGTTCCTTCAAGGTCAAGCCAGACACTGCAAGGATGCCATCCATCCATCTTGCTCTTGGTCGCCTTTCTTCTTTTTTCCTTCCATGTTCCCCAGCGTAATTGTCTTCTCTAAGCTTTCCTGTCTTCTCATGATGTGACCAAAATACTTCACTTTTGCCTCTAATATCCTTCCCTCCAGTGACCAGTCGGGCTTTATTTACTGAAGTGTGGACAGGTTGGATCTTCTCGCAGTCCACGGCACACTCAGAACTTTCCTCTAACACCACAATTCAAAAGCATCTATCTTCCTTCGCTCAACCTTCCCTATGATCCCGCTCTCATGTCCATAGGTGACTACGGGGAATACCATTGCTTTAACTATGTGGATCTTCTTTGCCAATGTGATGTTTCTACTCTTCACTATTCACAGTCAAAGCTAGTGGTGAGAAATGATGGAAGTTATAATCTAGCAACATTTGGAATGCCACAAGTGAGCATCCATGGGCAATTGGTCCGCACTTGCCCTGCCTGTTCTCCTGGACCCTTTCTGTGGCAATTGAGTGCAAAATCATCTTTCTTTGGCCCTGCCACTTGTTAGGAGTGTGGGATTCAAGCTTTTCTTAGATATATGGAAATCAAGCTCTTGGGATAGACTGTATATTCACCCCTGAAAAAAGCCTTTGTGAGGCTGTGTGAGAAAGGCATAGCTTCTCCAGACTGATCCTTCCTGCCTTCTAATATTGACTGAAACTAACCAAGTACTCGCATACCTTTAGTTGTACATATGAAAGAGCCTCCCAAGAACATCATCAGAACCAGTGATAGCATGAGATGATCCTACAGGCCACATACAATGTGTTTGTTTTTTGGATTAATAACACCATACCTGTTTATGGATATGCCCTGGGCTTTTCCATGGAAGTGAGAATCCTGATTGGTCTGGGTTTCCTCCTCAGATGGCACCTTATGTATGTATAGTATATGAAACTAGGATTAGGGTCAATGGAGGAGAGTTCTCTTGTCTGAATTCAGTTCTTTTCTAATTCTCCTCCTACACCCATATCCACCCTTAGTACCCACACTTGATGTTTGGCATGTTTCTTTTCTAACTCTTCTGTGCTCATGTTTTTTGAAGAGTGGCTGATTTCATGTTTGGCTTGCTTGTTGTGTGGTTGCATGTACTACTCTATTGTTCATTTTCCGGTCCCAATTCAAGGTGCAGGTGCTCACTTACAAAGCCCTAAACGGTTTGGGACCCGCCTACCTGCGTGACCACATCTCCATATATGAACCCACATGTTCCCTTCTATCATCTGGAGAGAACCTGCTCACGATCCCACCTGCGTCGCAAGCGCGGTTGGTGGGGACGAGGGACAGGGCCTTCTCTGTGGTGGCCCCCCGACTCTGGAACTCTCTCCCCAAGGACATCAGACAAGCCCTAACGTTGGCAGTCTTTAGGAAGAGCCTGAAAACCTGGCTGTTCCAGTGTGCCTTTCCAGAATAGGAAACTCCTAGCATCATGTCCCAAATGCACTTTATTACAGATTTAAGATTGCCTGCACATCGCACCTACCTCCAAAAAACCTCTACATATCACCTGTCAAGTCCAGCACCTTTTAAATTTTGTCCATTACATTTGGCCCGGCCTTTAGGTTTTTAAATGCGTTTTAAATGCGTCATGGTGTCATTGTTTTTAGTGTTTTATTGTTTTGATTTATGTTTTATTATTTTCTTATGAGTTTTGTTGTTGTATTTGTATGCTGTTGTTTGTTAGTGGCCTTGGCCTTTGTAAGCTGCATCGAGTCCTTTGGGAGATTTTGTTAATAATAAAGTTAATAATAATAATAATAATAATTTTGATCCAATGCTGCAATATGTTAGTATAAGATTTAAGTTTTATTAAACACAGTATTTTAAATAAGCTTAAAATACAACAAATTATTGATGTGGTCCACCTTTTATTTTGCTGATCCACTATGCATTTTAGACTGAAAGTATAGATTAGAACATGAATTTTGTTTTTCAAGAAATGCGTATTTTGACCTATTTTATTTTCTGGCAAGTTGTGTATTTGCTCACATGCAAGTCACCCTGTGATCCACTAGAGGTCACAATACACTAACAGTGCGAGCAGAATACCTAGATTCTCAACACCAACACTGTTTTCATCAACCTTCTTGAAGCTTTTACAGTATCTAATAGCTTTCTATCTGAAAGTAATCAGATGATGCTCATTGGGACGAACCTATTTGCATTTTAATGAGTGCCACCACTTTCCTTCTTTTCATTTTAATGTGTTCCTTCAGTTTTTGTGATTTGTGTATGTGATTTTGTAGTGGCGGTTTAATGAGCTTTTTTCTTGAGTTGTGGTGTAGATTTCTTAATTTCTGCCCAAACCTCTTTATCTAATAGGTGGTTAGGGTAATCTAGGAAGGATTTATATTTATGAGTTGAATATGGAATCTAGAGTGACTTGAGTGAGGCAGATGTACTCCTAAATGAATAGCATTGGTCTTTTTCTATCTCTTGAAATCTCCTTTGAAGGTCAACAGAGACACAAAGCTGTAATTGAAACACCAGTTCCATCTGTCAGCCTCAGCCCTCCCAGCTTGTTTTCTAGCTTCTGTCTCCTCTTCCTCTTGCAACAGGGAAAATTAGGAAAACTGAGTAGTTGAGAGGCAGGAATGGGGAAACTATGGCTCTCCTGATGTTATTGGATCATGACTCCAAGCATCCCTCCCCATTAGTAAAGCTGGCTGCAGCTGTTAGGAGTAACAACCCCTGCAAGGCTGCTGGGATGAAGTCTATTAAGCTTAGGCATTTAGCTACAAAATACATTGCTAACCTTTCCTTAGCTGCACCAAGGAATAAAAAGGGATTGCTTTAGTCTGCTATTAGTTCCTTCTATAGTGGTAGAAACTTTTGTCATTGGAAAAAGAAGGCTGTCTGTTTCTGCAACCTTCAGTTATTCTGTTTAAAACTGATATTCCAATATTGCTCTGATATTCCCAGGAGTAGTCTAATTTTGCATTTACAAAAATGAGGTAGATTTTAAATTGGTACTAGATGTAGATTTTTTTTCCCTGGGGCAAGTTACTTAAATGGGGGAATTGTTTAGAGTTTGAAAAAAAATCTGATTTCTTCACATTTGAAGGTAACCTCTCTCTGTTTTTATTCTTATTTTGAACCCAGATTTAAGGGTTTCAGTTTGTGTGTGTTTTGACTCTGATGCGGGTTTCAGCATTCTACTTAAAGTGAACTATACTTGTGTGCTAAAGGTGAACAACATATTAGATTTACAAAATTGAATAGGGTGATAGGGTGGAATATAAATAAAGTTTTATTATTATTATTATTATTATTATTATTAGAACTGCCCCTTCTATCTTGACGTTCAGAAAATATGTGAAAACTTGGCTCTGGAAATTGGCATTCGACGAGTGAGTCAATATTCTGTGATACGGATGGATGTTGACGAATGACAAACAATGATTTTATTGTGATGACTGACCATTGTAATTATTTGACTGTATTTTGCTATTTTAATGTTTTTAGTTTAATATGTAATATGATGTTTTTAAATGACTGTTTGTGATATTACTGTTGGAAACCGGCCTGAGTCCCTCGACAGAGGTGAGGGTATACAAAACTGCTAAATAAATAAATAATATAGCTTTTTATTTAAAATAAATCAATCGATCTGTGACTTTTCTTTTACAAGATTTTTTATATTATTATTTGACACAAACAATCTAATATATAATCGGAAAATATACATTCAAAGATAATGAAACGTGTCTAGATCTGTATGCAAATGGCAGCTTGTACAAAATAAATATAACATACCGTATATACTCGAGTATAAGCCGACCTGAATATAAGCTGAGGGACCTAATTTTACCACAAAAAAACTGGAAAGAACGTATTGACTCGAGTATAAGCCGAGGGTGAGAAATGTAGCTGCTACTGGTAATTGTCAGTAGATTAAATGTTTTTGAGTATTTACACAAAACTGTAATTTAAAATAAGACTGCCTAACTCTAATTCAACCATTATTCTAACCTCCTTCAATGTAAAAGTGCTTACCTATTACCTATAATGATAGAATAAAATAATAAATGTAATAAAAATAATAATAGAGTAAATAATTTAATAAGAATAGTAATAAAAATAATAAAGTAAAAATGTAATAATAACAGTAATAGAGTAAAATAATAAATGCAATAAATATAATAATACAGTAAAATAATGTAAATGTAGTAATAATAGAGTAAAATAATAAATGTAATAAAAGTAGTAATAGAGTAAAATAATGTAAATGTAATAATAATAATACAGTAAAATAATAAATGTAATAAAAATAATACAAATGGCAGAGAAAAATAATAAATAACCTTGACTCGAGTATAAGCCGAGGAGATTTTTTTCAGCCCAAAAAAGGGGCTGAAAACTAGGCTTATACTCGAGTATATACAGTACTTTACCATTCACTCGAGTTTAAGACATTTTCAAAGGAAAAGCCATGCAAACTATTCCTAACTACAATTATTGGTTAATATGTTATAGGAAAAACTGTTTCCATCTAGATAACAGCAACAGTGCCATCAGATCTGTGACTTTTCACTCCCCATATATTTTAACACTTCACTGCTTGTTTCATCCCAGGTTACAGATAAAAGAGTCTCCAGGAAACATGCTATTCTGAAGGTAGCTGGCAACCATCTTAGCATCAAACCGGTAATTGGATGTTTCTTGTTTCTCAGTGCAGTAAAAAGCTGAAGGGTTTCTGATTTTGTAGCGTGACCATGCATATGATGATGCTGAGTTCAGTGGAGGGAAAGAGCCTAGGAAGGCGACCTGCATGGAGGTAGGCAGTGAGGAATTAGGCAAGTGGAAAAAGAAATTGGCACCCAATTTCTCCTCCCTTTTGCCTGGGTGAAACAAATGCATGAAACACACAGTAATAGGAAGAGGAGTAGAAATCAAATGCAAGACATGGTCTAGAACAGTGATGGACAACTTTGGTGGCCCTTGGACTTTATTTTTGCTCCCAGCACCAAAATGCCTGGATTGGATTTGGGGGAGGGCTCCCTTTTGAAGTGTTTTATATAAAATTGTTTCTTGGAGGTGTTGCAATGAGTTAGGAAAACCTGTTTCTCTTCAAAATAAAAATCAGAAAGCACTTATAGACCTCACATATTAACCTGTGCATATTGTAATTTTTATATTGTTATTTATTCATATGTTTTATGTAACTCTGATGTTATTGTTTATTATTCGCG